TTCGCTTTCAACACACACCCCCATTCGCTCTTTCTCACCCTTGCACCCTCACTCGCATCTTTCGTCCATAGTCAAAATTCACGCAGTCGCGTACACGCTTTTCTCACGGTCCAGTCGCTCGGTTCCAGACACTCTTCCTCGCATTCTTTCAGCCGCTCGAGATTTTCTAAACGCAGTCACACTATTCTCCAAACATCCCGGCGCCGGTCGTCGCAACACGACCTGGTCGCCCTTACGCACGCGCAACAAACCATTCATCCTACGATACTTCAAACTACGCTAAATAATTCTAGATGCTACGAATATAAACGTTGATAATTTTAATTCCCGAGTAATCGAATGCAAGGAGGTCGTCGTATCGCGATCGGCCGATTGTCCCGCGACTGAAGCCTCGCCCGTTTCATCCGCATCCGAACGAACAAAAGGAACGAGCCCCGACGTGGCCGCGCGACTCGTGATCCGTGACCGAAGCTGTTGCTCGGTTATCCGGAAGCGACCTGGATACGCCGCGCGTCAGGGAGGAACGGCGGCGGGTCGCGTGGGCGTAGCGCCGGCCGCCTTAACGTTTCATGCATAGCTGATGAGACGGGTCATCTTCCTTCCCATTTGTCGAATTCCCGATTTCCTCGGGCTCTTCGAAATCTTCGTCTCCTCGGGTTCCTTACGGTGTCAGTTACAATCTTGAGAAGAGAGAGGAAACCGGCTTCTGAATGAAACTCTGCACGTGTCGTGTGTAGAAATGGAAAATTCGAGGCTTGACAATGGTCCGCCGGTTTTGAGGGACATCGATGTTCAGTTTGTACGTTAGTGTAATATGATGATAAATATTAGAGCAGTAAGAATGGAGATTAGAATTCAAAGGAGAGAAAAGGAATTCTAAGTATGGAGATTTGAAATTAGGAGCTTGGAATTACTTTCTTTCTTTTCTCTGTCACTGTGAATTATGATAAAATAACAAATAATATTGTTATAGTATAATAATATAAACTTGTATCTTACTGTTGTAATGTTGTTTTATTACAGTAATGTACAGACTTAACAAAATTCATCGCAGGAGACTGCCGAATTTCTGAATTCATTTTCAGCGCAAGTGGTTATTGTTGACCGGTCGCGAATTAACTCGTGTTCGCACTAGCATTAGCTATTTCAATTTTTGAACAGGGCAGCGTAGAATATTGCAAAAGTAGAATGTTAAAATTTATTTAAAAGATACGCCGAAGTTCCGTTTCAATTCATTGCATACGATAAAGACACATCGAAGCTTATTCAGATTGTTTCACTTTCATATTTAATTGCGTAATAATAACCGGTGACGTAGCACTTCCGCATTAAAAACTGCCGGTCAACAATGCGTTAATAACATCCCACGACCCAAATGTCTTGCGACAGCGGGCCATTGTCTCGATTCATTCGGCTGGTGAATCCGGCGATGCTGTTAAGAGCATTGCGCGTGTCTCGCTATTCCACGAAACAACGGGCCCAAGTCGAAGCGATAAGCATTGTTCCCGCGGTTCGCGATTCCCCGTTTTCGATCGGGACTCGCGTTGTCTCGGGGAACAGGGGATAGGTGTCCAGTTGTCCCTCGATTGCTCCTCGTCGACGAATCTCGCGTTTAGCGCATGAGAAATCGCGATTGAGCGTCTGAACGCGTCTGAATCGTTCGAATGCGAACGTTTCGCCATTGACCTGCTCGCGAGGAGAATTTTGAGAGTAACTTGGGGAATAATGCTTCGGGCTTCTTGCAATTTCTATCGATGAGTGGTTATTAATTGTTTCATATCAGTTGGAGAACGATGCTTCTGGTTTCTTGCAATTCATATTAATGGGCAGTAGTTTTGCCAGGAAATTTCGGGGACTTTGAATTTGTTAGCTTGACGTTGTAGGAATTTGAAATTTGGGAATTTTTAGATACGTGGCACTGTGAATATCTCTGAAGTGATCCTTCTATAGCATAACCTACAATAAATTATGGAAATATAAATAAATTGTGGAAATCTTTGTATAACACTGTACTTGTACAGCTCTAGATAACACGATTTTTGTTTAACATACTCAAATCCTACAACACAATCTCGCTCTGACACGATCAGATAAATTGTGGAAATCTTTGTTTAACACTGTACTTGTACAACTCTAGATAACACGATTTTTGTTTAACATATCTAAAAACTGAATTATATTAGAATAACGACGGGAAACGCGATGAAGCTTAAACAACATGGTTTCATGCAACCCGACATTTCCTAGGAACTTATCTACCGTGTTATAGGATTACCTATAACTAATAAATACAATTGTAAAGAATAGAATTATAAATTCCTGGTGTCACAATAGAAAGTTTCAATTAGAGGTACTAGTTCGTCAGCTAACGATCTTCTCATTTCGAGGATGCGGAAGATTATTTTCTTACATTTCGAAGAGATTCTTCAGGAAGTCTGTGAACTTGATATTCAATTTACAGAAGTTTACCTTTGAACTCCCGTCTGCTTGTAATTTGCAAGATCATTTACCTTCCGCCAGAGTTGTTAGCAATTTTATACTTTTCCTTGATGAGTTTTATGGAACGGGATGTCGGAGAGGTGACGTTTTTATGTGGAACGTCCGCGAGAGTCGAGAGTTATTAAATTTGTTGTGCGTACACGGAGGTACGTCGAAATAAAAACAAAATTGAATTGCGCGTTAGCAGCGGAGCCCGGATCGCAACTATTAATTCCATTACGAATTCCGTCCGCGGTAATTGCCCGCAACTCACTGCAATCACCTGCATCACAATCGGCAATCAGCACCAATTAACGAACACAGGAAACCAACCTCTCTCTCTCTCTCTCTCTTTCCGCCATGACAACAACTACGTACCAATCATCAACTTAAATCCACCCTTCCAACGAAACATCCGGACGGTGAAAAACAGAGACAATTCGAGCAGTCCTTAATTAACAGACATAAACACAAACATATTTTCGGAGGAAGTACGGAAGAGAACGGAACAGAGTAACGAACAGTGGCACGAGGAGGGTAAAAAGTTGATTAACCCCTTAACTTGTACGCTCGAGTTAATTCGAGCGCGCTAAACAGGCCAAACTGGGAAAATAACAATGTGAAAGCAGAGAAAAAAATCGTTTTACTGATATTTATCATTTACATGGGATTGTAAGGTGTAACACTTATTTATTTAAGAATCAAATATAGCCTTTTTCCATGGAAAAGAAGCGCAGTATATCAAAATTGATTTTTTTTTGGTCGGTTCTTTTCAAGAAAACTGTGCGTTAAGGGGTTAAATCTAGGAGACATTGGAGAATCGAGGGAGGAAGTTAGAGAATTAAGAAAGGGAGTAATTAGAAAATGAATAGAGTATGTTGAAGCCATTTTTTATTATTAATTGCCTGCCGAAAAATTCCTCCCACATTTAATTCATCTTTTTAGACAACGCTGAAAATTACTAACAGATAAAATCAAACCACCATAGAAAATTTGTCATTTATTTGTTGGTAACGAATAAATATACTTATTTGGTTGAGAAATAACTTCTATTTGAATTCTCACCGGACCACCGTTAAACTGAACGTCGGGATATAACACAAAAGAATATTAGAATATTAGGAGAGTGATGAACTGCTTCATTAAGTAGGATAATTGGGAAGTTGAGGAACTTAGTTGTAGAGTGAAATTGAAAAAGATTGGAGAATTAGGTAAGCAAGGAATTGGATGATTAAGGAATGAATAAGAAAGTTCGAAATAACTGGGGAATCGAGGAGGTTAAACACTCGGGGAATCAATCAAGGAACTGAAACATTAGGAAATGAGTGCAATCAGAAAGTGGGAATTAAGAAACTAAGAATTTGAGATCTTGAATAACTGAAAGAGTAGAAACTTCAGGTAATTATAAATTGGAAAATTAAGGTGACTATGAATTAGAGAACTGAGGTAATCGTTAATTAGAGAATGAAAGGAATTAGAAACTAGGTAACTAAGAAACTAAGAATAGTCTTCCTTTTAACCATTTATTTTTATTTTTCTTATCGCCTGCTTAGAAATGGAAAAACGGGACGATTGCGCTATTTACAATATTTTACATAAAAATAGAAAATTGTAATTGAGTTTCTGAAACGAAGGAAGCGCGATCGCGCCGCTTGCCACTTTTCCACTGTGTTTCGCAAAGACCTGTAGCACTTAAATGGTTAAAAACGCGTCTAAATAGAACTAGAGTAAGTATTCTCGCTTTTCTAAGAACATTTCAAGTTCCTATAGAAACTAAGGTTAACAAGCAAAGTCAATTCCCCAACCAGTCATCACATAAATCAAATCCCCTCTAACATTAATACCACAAACCCCTACTGTCGTCAATCTTTTAAACTTTTGCTTCATTCATCGATGTCAAAGACCTGTAACACTCAAACAATTAAGAAATCGTCTAAATAAAACCAGAGTAAGTAATCTTGCTAATAACATTTCGAATTCCCATAGAAACTAAGGTCAACAAGCAAAGTCAACTAACATGAACACCTGAAATCCCTACTGTCTTCAATCTTTTAAATTTCAGCTTCATTCAACCATGTGAAACCCCTAACACCCAAGCAATTCAACGAACTATAAATTAGAGTAGTAGTCAATTCCCCAGCCAGTAATCACAAAAATCAAATCCTCAACACCAACACCACAAACCCCTATTTCTAATCTCTCAAACTTCAGCTTCGTTGATCCATGTGAAAGTGACACTACATGAAACCCTAACACTGAAGCAATTCAACCAATTACAAATTAGAGTAGTAGTCAATTCCCCAGCCAGTAATCACAAAAATCAAATCCTCAACACCAACAGCACAAACCCCTATTTCTAATCTCTCAAACTTCAGCTTCGTTGATCCATGTGAAAGTGACACTACATGAAACCCTAACACTAAAGCAATTTATCCAATTGTAAATTAGACGTAAGAGACCCAAGCAAACCCAAGAAGACTAAAGACATTGTATTGAGAGACGAAATGACGTGTGTGTTCCAGCAGCATCCGAACGCGACGAACAGTAGCGAGACGAGCGTGGGTGGCGTTTCGGGTGCGTGCGGAAGCAGCGGCATGCCGGCGGGCGGCGAGGCCGGGTGCAGCAGCAGAGGCGGGAGCAGCAGCGGTGCCGGCGGCACGGCCGGCCAGGGCTGCGAGCAGGGAGCCCACGGTGGCCCCTCGTCTCACTCCAAGGAGAGCCACGCCAAGTTCAGGCACGGCCTGCTACAGCTTATGATCCACACGATCGATCCGCTCCACGACGGTCAGTCCCGCGCCGGTATACCAACTCCACACTCTATCACTCTCGCTTGCCGCTTTGCCTTAGCGCTAACAGCACGCTCTTAGATGTCCCAGTGACGTTAACCTGTTCACTGACACTTCTGTCTTGATTACATGTTAATCGGACAACAGTTAAACTGTCGTCTTTCGGATTATTAGGATCTTGTTTGTTGTGTTATTAGAAGTTATCGAACAGTTGAAGATTCATTTCTCTGATTGTTAGAATCTTGATTACTGTGTTATTGGAAGTTATCAGATAATAGTTGAAGAATCATTTTTCTGATTATTAGAATCTTATTTATTAAGTTATTGGAACTTATCAGACAACTGTTGAAGAGTCATTTTTCTGATTATTAGAATCTTGTTTCTTGTATTGTTAAAAGTTATCAGATAACAGATGAAGATTCATTTTTCTGATTAATAGAATCTCGTTTATTGTGTTATTAGAAGTTATCAGGCAAGAGTTAAAGATTCATTTTTCTGATTATTAGAATTTTCTTCATTGTGTTATTAGAAATTATCAGACAGCAGTCGAAGATTCATTTTTCTGATTATTAAAGTCTTGTTTATTGTGTTATTAGAAGTTATCAGGCAATTGTTGAAGATTCATTTTCCTAATTACTAGAATCTCGTTTATTATATTATTAGAATATCAATGATTCCTGAAAAGATATATCGAAGTTCGATTAACCCATTCGATAAATAATGGCATTGACTTTTGCATGATTGACACGAGGTACCTATTGGGTCGATGCAAACGTTTGGACGATTTCTATAACAGATTTTGGAATATTCTTTCGCGCGTGTAATTTTTATTACACACTTCATATTAGAGATAATAAAATGTCTTTGTTTGAATGACGTCGAGATCTTTGGATCGACCTAATAACGCGCTTTAGTTCGCAGATTTTTCATTGATCTCGCGTATCCGAAAATTCGGTGATTTGGTTGCTTACCGAAGTTTCTTTGCACAGCAGTTCGCCTGCAGCTTGGTGTTTTGTGCGCCGTTTTCAACTCGAATGGGTTAATCGATGATTCTATTAAAATTGAAGAAAACATTCAGAGTAGGGTAGACCAGAACGAACAGTGAATAAAAATTCGGGCTGCATTCATTATATCGCGAGTGATTTATCTTGTTCTCATTGATAAGAGAGATTGAACTATTTCTTTCAATATTAACGTATTGGAAAATTTATATAAAGACTCTTAACCGTGCAACTTTGCTAATTACCATGGTATTTAAGAAAACATTAAATTTGAGTCAATTGGATTATTCAAAATATATTACATACCAATACATCTGAGTTTTTCTATATATAACGACGTAAGTTAATTTTCCAAGAATATTATTAACGTTACATTAACGTTATAAAATGTCACGTTAATTTTCAGAAAACTGCGCATATGGCAATTTTTTCAACTTATAGTACTATACATAGAAAAACTCGATACCGAGTCAGACTCAATTCGAATCAAACTCAATATTCCCTTAAATACCACGATAATCATCAAAGTTTCATTAAATATTAATAAATATTCTCATATATTCTCACTTCTTCGACATCAAATTGAAATCGATCGAACTCGCCTTGGTCTACCACGAATTTTCCACTGTTCTATTCAAGAAACGTTCATTACGAAAGTTCCATTAGCGTCGTGACAGTGAACAGGTTAGCAAATAATAGCGTAGCTTTCGTTGGAACGTTCTGCGCACGCGATCGGCTCGCGTTTCTCTCGTGAGAACCGTCCGCGAGCTGCGAGGCTCGAAGTTCGAAGGTATTGAGACGATGCGTCCGATTCGTTGCTCCCCGACAGACGATCGGATCGTTCGAAGCGATTCGATTCGATTGAGAACGGCCTGCGCGACTCGTCGCCGCTCCAGATCGCTCTCAGATCGCGGCATTGTTTTAGATCTTCCGCGCGATCGACTGGTTGCCCGATGACCGCGATCCGGTAGCCTAAATTTTCGAGGACTCGATCGGGAATGCCGCGACACGACTCGATAAACTCGGAACTGGATCGTCCGCCCGGCCGAAACGTCCCCTCGCGTTTCTTCGGGATCTTCCTTATCAATTTTCACTCTGTTAAATTCGATTTCGCCAGACAATTACTTCCCCCGAGCATTTCTCCGGGTTTAACGGGCGGCTTCGGGGAATCGGGGACACCAGGGGACGGGGGGGAGATAATGAAGCTTAGATAATGACGATAGATCGACGCAGTAAACAAAACGCCGCGATTTCGCGGCGGGATACTGGGGGAACTTGGCAGACTCGGATTCTGACGTGGAAATGGACTCGGTTGTTATCGGACGTTTGGTAATTTATGTTTCGATTCGGAATTTTTTTATGGTTGTACGTTGAAAGTCAAAGTGAACGGTCTAATTTAACACTAGGTTTACGGAACGCGTCAATTTGACGCAGATAGAATTTTATAAATATTATTTGGTAAATGTTTCAATCGGTTTTCGTTGATCCAATTACACAAATATGAGTCCTGATTGTCTATTTCTACATGTGCAGTTTCCAAAATCTAAATGAACGAATATCGACTTCCCCAGGAACAGTAGAATAAACTGTACGATAAATTCCCGTAAAGCTAGTGTTTACTAGATTCTTAGTCCGTTACTAAACTAATTAAGTTAGAATCATCAACTCGGTTGTTATTGTCTATATTTGGTAATTTATATTTCAATTCGTAAATTTTCGATAGTTGCACCTCGGAAATCAAAGTAAACGATCTAATTTAACTAGATTCTTAGTCCGTTACTAATCTAGTTAACATAGAATCATCAACTCGGTTGTTATCGTATACATTTGGTAATTTATTTATTTATTATGCATTGATTGAAATGGTGAGTGAGAGGCACCTCTCGAGTGCAAAGGGTTAACTAAAGGGTTAACCCGTGAATCTCACGGATACAGAATTTTCTAAACACTATTCCATAACGGTTTAACTCAATTATAATTAGTATAGTTATGAGAATACACGTTAGAATTCTGATCTGGAAACTAATTTCCGCGAGCTAATGAACGAACGTCTTCTATGATAGAACAGACTGCAGAATACGTAAATCTACTGCTGCATAACACAACTATTACAAAGAATCTCTCGATCAGCTAATGATCACTAGATATACAATATTTCTCAATACACAGAACACTAATCGACACAGTTGATCGATACACCAACGCGATCTAAGGCAAACTTGAACACCAGGAACCACGCAACGAAGGAACCACGGATCAATAAAAATTTGGAACAGTCTCGCAGTCGTTTAAGGGTTAACATTCTTGGCACGATAGTCACGTACTTACCAGTCAGGCCACCGTCGTTCTCACTTCCGGTCGCCGTATCCGCAACGAGCAACAGAGACAGTCGTACAGAGCGCACCGCTCGGTCTTCGTTTCTCCCTCTCTGTCTTTCTCCCTGTCTTTATCTCTGTCGGTGGCCCAGCGATGCGCCGAACCGCAAAACTTCCGAAAGCTCTATCGAATAAAGTGCTTTTAAATGTAGAGTCACGGGAACACTTATTACGGCCGCCGAGGCGTGGCGGGCGAAGGGGGACGGGACACGGGGTCGCGGGGTTGAAAGGGTGCGCGGGTGTACACGGGTGGGCTTGGCCTCCCTATCGACAGCCGGGTCAAGCCGGAGACTCTTAACCCGGTGAAACGTATCGGGGAACGTTTTTCTCGGTCGCGGAACCTTGGGTCGTGGCTTCTGTGCCGTGTACATTCACTGGTGGGAGCGAATTTTCCTGCATATCGATTCAGAACTGTGCTATTGATTTTTGGAATTTTTGTTTGGGCGTAGATTGTATGGGTGTTGATCGCTCTTCCCTTAGTTGTGATGTGTGTGTGGTTGAGGAAATACGTTTCTTGATCGTGGAATCTTGAGTTATAGCTTCTATGTCATGTACATTCACTGGTGGGAGCGAATTTTCCTGCATATCGATTGAGAACGATGGTATTGATTTTTGGAATTTTTGTTTGGGGATAGATTGTATGGGTGTTGGTCGCTCTTCCCTTAGTTATGATGTGTGTGTGGTTCAGGAAATACGTTTCTTGATCGTGGAATCTTGAGTTATAGCTTCTATGTCATGTACATTCACTGGTGTGAGCGAATTTTCCTGCATATCGATTCAGAACTGTGCTATTGATTTTTGGAATTTTTGTTTGGGAATAGATTGTATGGGTGTTGGTCGCTCTTCCCTTAGTTGTGATGTGTGAGTGGTTGAGGAAATACGTTTCTTGATCGTGGAATCTTGAGTTATAGCTTCTATGTCATGTACATTGAATGGTGTGAGAGAATTTTACTGGATATCGATTGAGAACGATGGTATTGATTTTTGGAATTTTTGTTTGAGGGTAGATTGTCTGGGTATTGGTCCATTCTCGTTTAGTTCTTATGTGTAGGTTTGTTGTATTGTGTATGGGGTTGAAGAAATGCGTTTCTTTGTCGTGGAACCTTGAGTTGTGGCTTTTGTGCCGTGTACATTGAATGATGTGAGTGAATTTTCCTGGATATCGATTCAGAACTGTGCTATTGATTTTGGAATTTTTGTTTGGGGTTAGATTGTGTGAGTATTGGTCCCTTCTCGTTTAGTTGTTATGTGTGTGTTGTTAAGGAAATACGTTTCTTGATCGTGGAATCTTGAGTTATAGCTTCTATGTCATGTGCATTGAGTGGTGTGAGTGAATTTTCCTGGATATCGATTGAGGACGGTGTATTCATTTTTGGAATTTGTGTTTGGGGATAGATTGTGTGGGTATTGGTCGCTTTTTATATAGTCGTAACGTGTATGTGAGGAAATGTGTTGGCTTGATTGGAAGATCATAATTATTAGGGGATTTTGTGTGTCCTCGGACACTGAGACTGCAGCGTCGTCTTCGTCTGCGGAATTCTACGGTTGTTTCCCTGTTTCCGACGATACTGCTTTGTCGCATGACCGATGGCCAGCCGGCGTTTCATACGCCGTTGCGACGG